TTTATACCCTATTCTCACTGTTATGTATAAAGGGATTTAATCCTTCAAACTGCTATATAGATCTAAGAAAAAGAAACCACTCATTTGGATCATGAAACCACTGCCACTAAAAGCAACAGTGAGAATCCACTGCTATAATCACCTAGGGGACTCATTTCAAAAGTGATTACGAGAAGTGTTAGTCACCTCAAATGCCAACCTAATATAAGTTTTCCCATTACTTAAATATGATTGAATTAGTTAGTAAAAACAAAACAAAACAAAAAAATAATATAAAAGCCCTAGGGATTTGATCCAAAGAAACTCTTGTTTCTTTGCACAGAGTTTTATAGAAAAACTTATTAAAACTATTGAATATAGCCTTGACTGAAAGAGTCTATTTGTAGACATGGTTAAAGGGAACAGCAAATAAAATCCCCACAGGGCCCTGGTGGTGAGGACAGGACTGGCACGACTATAAATCAGAACCTTCCTAATGTTCACAATATGAATGAGATAATGCATGAGCCAGAAAAGCACAAAAGTGTTTATGGAGGTCCTAAATTATTTCTTAACCTAGTCTATGAGTTTTGAGACTTAGAATGAGAAGAAAATTGAAAATTAGTACAAGAAATTTTCTTTACAGAGTTCAATGTAGCACAACAATGTTTGTATATAAAAAATTACTTAGTGCATATTTTTTATGTCTTTAAGCATGAAATAAAAATATTTAATAATAGACATTCAAGTTAAAGATAGGAGGTTTCTTCAGGGATTTGCTATAAAGGATTGTGGGGTCTAGCTCTAACATGTATTTTATTTTTCTCCTTCAACTGTAAGTTTCTTCTTCAGATGACTGAGTAAGCCCCCAAGGGTAATATGTAACATATTTATTATACTATTAAGCATCTGAATTTATGTTGTGGTTATATTTTGATATATGAACCCATTTATATTGTTATTAAAATTGCATAAAGAGGAGGTAGTTGGAAAAATGGTGGCATCGGCAGATCTAAGGTCCTGTCTCTGCCACACAAGCACCAAGAACAGCTAGAAATTTCTACTCTCAACTCAGTAAGAACTCTGAAAGGTATGCAGACGATTGCAGCAACTAATTGAAAGCTGATGGGGTAAAAAGGCAACTTTTTAAGGATTAAAAAAACAAAAAACTCACTGCCGTTGAGTCATTTCTGTCTCATAGCAACCCCTCCTTGGGTTTCCAGGTGGTTTCTTTAAGGAAGTAGTTTGCCCAATCTTCCTTCCAAGGAGTGGCTGGTGGGTTTGAACAGCCAGCCTTCTGGTTAGCAGTCAAATGCTTTAGGCACTATGCCACTAGAGCTAAAAAACATTTTTTTTTTCCCTAGTGTCTCCTCCCATCTCCACCCGGTGCTCTCTGAGAATTTGTGCTCTCAGAGGGACTCACTCCCTGGCCTCTGGAGTGAACAGGGCAGACTTTGCTGGTGGACCATTTGTCTGTTCTGATCCATCTGGGAGCTACCTGAAAGACTGAAGCCTTGGTCAGGTCTGCATTGGAGCGCACACACGTTGGGGAAGGGAAGGGAGTTGTAAACAAAGACTGAAAGTTGTGACCACCTGAGACTTTCCTACTGAAATTAACATTTCCAAAAGCACTCTGCATACAGAGAAACTGAAAAAGCTACATGCATGCCTAGAGCAAATATATTGTAATATTTTAATATATCACTTTCAAAAAAAAGTCACAAGGCAACAAAAAACTGGAAATGATGGCCCATTCAAAAGGACAAGACAAAGGGAGTAAAATTATCTCTAAGGAAACTTAGATAATTGACAGAATAGAAAACTTTAAAACAACAGTAAAAATTCAGAGTTAAGGGAAAACATACATGGTCAAAGAAATAAAGGAAATCAGGAAGACAATACATGAACAAAATGAGAATGAAGAGGTAGACACTATTGAAAGAAAACAATAGGATTAGTGGAACTAAAAAATACATGGAATTGAAATGAAAAATGGAGGGACTGGACAGCAGTTTTGAGTAGGCAGAAAAAGAATCAGCAAACTAGAGAAAAAGACATTTCAAAAACCAAAGATAAAGAGAGAGTACTGAAAGCTGCAAGAGAGAAGTGAATTGCCCCATACAAGACCTCCTCAAGATTAAATGCCAATTTCTTCATACAGAACTAAGAGGACACAAAGAAAATATCTTAAAAATATACAAAAAAGGAAAGGGGAAAGGAATCAAATTGTTCACAAGAAGAAATCAATTAAGCACAAATGAAGGCAGCATTGGAGGAGTTGAGGGGCAAAAAAAGTAAGACACCAAAAATAAACAGCAAAGTGGCAGAAGTAATTCTTGCCTTATCAGTATTTATTTTAAACGTAATGGATTAAATTCTCCAATTAAAAGGCAAAGAGTGGTAGAATGGATTTAACAAAAAAAAAAAAAGGCCCATTTATATGCTGTGTACAAAAGACACATCTTAGACTCAAAGACATAAATAGGTTGAAAGTAAAATATTAAAAAAATATTCCATACAAATAGTAAGCAAAAGAGAGTGCTGGAGTGACTATATCATATATACCTAATATCAGAGCCCCAAAATATATGAAGCAAACACTAACGGAATTGAAAGGAAAAATAGTGAGATCTACATGAATAGTTGGAAACTTAATGCACCACTTTCAATAATGATAAGATCATCAAGAAAAGCTATCAATACAGAAACAGAGGTTTTGAAGAACACTATAAACCAACTAGACCTAATGGTTATACATAGAATACTCTACCCAGCAACAGCCCAACACACATTCTTCTCCAGGGCACAGGGATTATTCTTTAGGAGAGACCATATGGTAGAGCACAAAACAAGTCTCAATTAATTTAAAAAGATTGAAATCTACAAAGTATCTTCTCTAATCACAGTAGAATGAAACATAAAATAAACAATGGAAAGAAAACTGGAAAATTCACAAATATGAGGACATTAAATAGCACATATTAAGCAAACAATGGGTCAAGGAAGAATAAGAGAAATCAGGAAATATTTAGAGTCAAATGAAAATGAAATCACAACATACTAAAAAGTTCTTGGGGTTTTAAATATCACATAGGCCCAAGGGAAGTAAAGATGAAATGTGGTAAAATAAGAATGTTGAGGTATGCAGGGGGCTTGATCATGCTGGAAATGCTAGGTCATGTTAAGAATTTTGCATTTTATTCTATGTGAAAGGGGAAATCATTGATTTTTTTAAAAAAATAAAGAAATAGCATACCTGAATTACACGTTTTACAATTTTTTATTATAGATTTTATTTAAAAGCATATCTCTCAGCTGAGTTAGTGACATTTTAAGTCACTTAGTTGACTGGTCAACTATAAAGTCCCTTGTATTGCCAAGTTGAATTGTGGTCCTTTAACCACTTCATGCATTTCCCTCACCATCTTACAATATGAATCATATTGTCCTCGTCCCAGTCATCAGTGTCCTACTATATTTACATTTTGGTATAGTATTATTCCTAATACATGAATAACTCTTATAAATCAATGAGAAAACAGTCTAATAGAAAACCAGGAAAAACATATGAATCATAAATTCACAGACCCCAAAACTCAAACATAACCCACTGCCATCGAGTCAATTCTAACCCATTGTGACTCTGTAGGACAGAAGAGAACTGCTCCATAGGTCTCATCTTTCTCCTAGGGAGCAGCTGGTGGGTTTGAACCACCAAACTTTTGGTTAGCAGCCTAAGCCATTGTACCACCAGAACGCCTATAAATTCATAGAAGGGACATATAAATGCCGCCAAAAAACTTGAAGAAATGTTAAACTACGTAATAAACAGGGAAAATGTAAACCAAGAAAACAATGAGTTACTATTTGCCATACAACCAACTGGCAAAATTTTTAAAATTTGGTGACACCAAATACCTGCAAGAGTTTAGAGCCAAGTGAACATTCATCTGCTGCTATTAGGTATGCAAATGGTACAATTACCTTATAGGAGTGTGTCAGCATATATTTAAAATAAAAAACGTACCTTAGTAATAGCCCAGAAATCCTACTTCTAGGCATAGACCTGAGTTTTACACTCAAACACATATATAAGGAGGCATATATAAGGACATTTATTGCAGTATTGCTTCTGACAGCAAAAATGTGTATAAAACCAGTAAGGGGATGATTAAGTTATAGTAAATCCATATTACAGAATATTTGTTAGTTAAAAATTTTATGAGTTAGGCCTAATTCAATATAATATCATTATGTTATAAACACCCACACCCACATACTACATATGTATGTGTATGTAAGTATGCATACATATACACACACACGTACACACACACACACACACACACACACATATATATATATATATATATATATATACATTTTTTTTTTTTTACAGGTACACTTGTATGTATGTGAAAGCAAAGAAACAGTACCGGAAGAGAACTTTCTTTTATACTGAATATTTTCATTTTTATAAACTAATAAATCATTCAAATCTTATCACTTTTATTCTTGGCTCTAATAAAATATTCTAGCTAAATCTATACAAATATAAAATAATTTACTATTCTCTCTCAAGACGTGACCATTTACCCTTACTTTGAGGTTTGAGAAAAGAATTTAGTGTTGACTGGTACTGCTGACTTCTCAGTTATTCTCTTGTAAAAGATTTTCTTTTCTCCCTTGATAAAATTCAAACAATTGAATTTTTTTGGTGAATTTGGAGTCTCAAATTAGAATGTACAGATTAAATCAAGGTTACCCTAAAGTCCCTTTTAATTTCAACATTAAATCAAATGTTTCTGAAAAGCATTGGCCAGTTTGATACAAGTGATTCCTTGTTACTACTATTTCTTTCCATGTGAGTTTCCTCCTTGCAGATACTCCTTTCTAGCTCCTTTGGGTGGGCACATCATCTTGTTCATTGTTTCCTGCCCAGTGGCTGGCCTCCTTTTAGGCATATGCTATATTGTTTAAAATCTTTAATTCAGTGGCTTCTCTGAATTTTTCTCCTGCAGGATACACAGGAGCCCACTGCGAGACTGACATCAATGAGTGCCTTAGTAACCCCTGCCAGTCGGATGGAGAATGTGTGGAGCTGTCTTTAGAGAAACAATATGGACACATTGCTGAGCTGCCCTCTGCCTTCAGCTACCATGAAGCCTCAGGTTACATCTGTATCTGTCAGCCGGGATTCACAGGTGAGGCCAAGGAGAGGGGCAATGACTTAATTTTCTAGCATTTTATGGAAGACCTAGGATTGAATCAAATGGCATACTAAGTTGTAGTAAAGTCTGTAGTGTGTAAATTCTGTGGTATGGTTAAAAGGGTCCCCCTTGTGGGAATGAGAAATACCTTGTTTGACATATTGTAATTCTGCAACCATGAGGAAAGTGTTAAAAATAGAGATAGAAGAGATGTATGGAAGAACATTTTTATACATTTTACTTAGAATTGGTTCCCAACTCAAATTCTTTACCTTATAAACAGAAACTCTGTGTCTCATGTTATTAAATTTGATAACAATGATAATTTTTTCTTAAATTTGATTTTTAAAAAAATGTTTAGAACAATTATCTAGCCTGAAGTAATATTGAACTGTTTTATAGACAAAGTTGTTCCTCGTATCAAATTTAAAATACACTGTGCTTTTCTACAGCATCTGTACTCTAAAACCCAGAGGAAATTTGCATGTGTGTGTGTGTGTGTGTGTTAGTGTCTGCTGAAAACTTCCTTAAGGTTTGAGATATTCCTCACATTTGCTAATGAATAGCAATTTACCCATATTTACATAGATACCACCAGCAAAACAAATTACAATCTCAGCTTCTTTCTCAACAGATTAAATGATATCTGAGGAAAAGATTTCAGTCGTGGATTTCTGAGAAAAGTAAATGAAAAATAGGAGATAAGTGGGTAGGGGTGTTCTAATAACACTGGGAGTCCCTGTGTAAATGTGTAACACGCCTGACTGCCAACCAAAAAGCTGGAGGTTCAACCTTACTTAGAGGCTTCTTGGAAGAAAGGCCTGGTGATCTACTGAAATATGATCTACTGGAAATGCTACAGAAGTCAGTTCTACTCTGACACACACACTGGTTTTTGTTTTCTATTTACATTTAGGATTACCTTTCTTTTATCATTTTAGTTTTGAAGTGTAATGAACACTGACTGCTTCATGGCTGTTTGCTATGAGCTTTGCTATAGAAAATGCTGTTTATTTCCTTATACACTGTTCCCTCTATAAAAAACACATAGGAGAAAAATTTTTCTAGTGGTAATATAAGTGATATTTTTCTTGAACAACCGCAAGCTTGCATGCTTTTTACCTTAATAAAAAGCACACAAATAAATCTTGACAAATAATAAAAAGCATGAAATAAACCTTGTAATACATCACATTTCTCATCATGCAGGCTGCTAGAAATCCTATAGGTAAACATGGCATCTGCAAGTTTATAGGTCTTTCTGGAATATACTTATAAATTTACCTCAGACTTGGGAATATTTGAATTTCCTGTTTCTGTGTTACCTTTGGCCTTTTTTTTCATATTTATTTCTAATTTATTTGGTCTGGGTGTAGTGTATAAATTTTTGTCAGCTACTTTAAACCTTTTTGGAACAAGGGAAAGGGTTATATATTTATATATTTTTAAATCCTGAGTTTAGGGTTATAAAGTGGAGATTCTGTTAGTTAGAGGCCATTGCTAATATTGTCTCATAGGATAAAAGGCCACTGGGTGACCAATGGATCCACAGCTCCAAATAGGAGAGTAAGTGGGATGTACTGGTAGTGTATTGGATCTGATTTCTGAAGAGCTGCCAAGGATGACTAAATAAGTTAAGAAGTCCTAACTGCCTGAAATCTCTATGACTTAATGAAATAGAAGTTTAAATTTCACTTATGTGAGTTCCAAAATGGGTGATTGTCTTCTAAATGGTGATTCAAGGTTGTAGAAGCCTCTTTTTTTTTTTTCTCATCTTCAAAGAGTGGCTTCCAAGTTTATCCTGCTGTGTGGCAGCAAACCACTGGAGAAGACAAGAAAATGGAAGATTCCCCTAGAAAGGTGTTTATGGGCCAAGTCCTGGAAATAGAGAATATCTCTTCTACCCATCTCCTCAGCATAGTTATATGGTGAAAGTTTACAAAGCAAATTGGATTTCCAATCAACAATTCATACACATTTTGTTTTGTGACATTGATTGCAGTATCCAAAATGTAGAAGCACTCTTCTCATTTCCTCCCTGTGTTAACCATTTCTATCCCTTCTGCCTTCTGAACTTTGTCCCTGGGCAAATGCTGCCCTTTTGATCCCATATGGTTTATGGTTCACCTTATATGCCTGTGTATTGTTTGGCTGAAAGTTGAGCTGCATGGATGAGTTTAGACTTAAAGGATGTCTGAGGGCCATAGTTTTGGGGGTTCCACCCAATCTACATCAGATCAATAAGTCTGATCTTTTCCTTATTATTTTGAACTTTGTTCTACATTTTCCTCCCACTCTATCCAGGACCTTCTATTGTGATTCCTTTCAGAGGGGTCAGCAGTGGTAGCCAGGCACCATCTAGTTCTTCTGGTCTCAGGGTCATAGAAGCTGGGGTTCGCTAGTCCATTAATGCTTTGGGCTAATTGTTTCCTTGAATCTTGATTTTTTTTCACTCTTCTTTGATTTGAATGGGTAGAGACCAATAATTACACCTTACATGGCTGCTCACAAGCTTTAAGGACCCCAGTTGCTACTCACCAATGTAGGATGTAGAACATTGTCTTTGTGGAACTATGCTGTACCAATTGTATTCAGGTCTTCTTCAGTTTTAGTCATCAAAATTCTGTAATTTTCATAGAGATCCTATATATTTTTAAGTTTATTTTTCAGTTTTTTCCCATTAAACACAAGTCTATTGTTTTGATAGAACTACATTTCACTTTAACCATTGTATTGTGTAAGATATTATTTGAATTCTTTTTAATTTCTTTTTTTAATTGTCTTCCACATCATCCAAGGTAATATGTGTCTACCACCAAAGTATACTTTTTTGTGTGTGAAACCTTTGACTTTTTACAATAGTGGTCCTATACAATATTTGACCTTTTGCGATTGACAAATTTCACTCAGCAAAATGTCATCTAGATTCATCCATGTTATGAGATGTGTCACAGATTCATTGACGTTCTTCAACTTTGAGTAGTGTTCCACTGTGTGTATGTACAATAGTTGAACTATTCATCTGTTAATGGAGATTTAGGTTGTTTACAGCTTTTTGCTGCTGTGAATAGTACTACAGTGAACATGAGTGTGCATATATGTGCTCGTTGCATGGCTCTTATTGCTCTAAGATATATACCTAATAGTGGGATTGCTGGATCATATAGTATTTCTATTTCCAGCTATTGAAGGAATTGCCATACTATTTCTACAGTGGTTGCACCATTTTACATACATTTCTACACCCTCACCAGCACTTGTTTTTATTTTTTTATTTTTTAACTTTGCTGTTAGTGCTAGGGTGAAATGATATCTCGTTATTGTTTTGATTTGCATCTCTCTAATGGCTAATGATTGTGAGGGTTTCTTCAAGTGTTTGTTAGCTGCTTGAATGTGTTTGGTGAATTATCTGTCCGTGTCCTCTGCCCATTTTTACTTGGATTGCTAAAGTTTTCTATTAATTTTAGAGACTAGCCCTTGTCTGATATGTTGTTGCCAAATTTTTTTCCTACTCTACAAGTTCTCTTTTAACTCTTTTGGAGAAATCTTTTTTTTTTTTTTTTAATTCTATTGTGATTTGGGTGAAAGTTTACAGTGAAAATTCATCTTACATACAGCAGTTCACATACACTTTGCCTCATGATATTGACTGTAATCTCCCACAATGCAACACCTCTCCTCCCACTTGCTCCCCATAGCCACCTCTTCCCTGTGTCCTTTCCTCCCAGGCACTCCTGCTCCCAGCCCCCCAGCTCTCTCCGTGTGCCCACACAGCCCTTCTATTCTCCCATAATTGATCTCTCCAAGGAGTGTATCTACCTAATGTAAACGTTCAGATCATATGCCTGTCTTCCGTTTGGCTGGAAGCCACGGGAGTGGGATCAATTCCAGACCTGAAGGGCAGCTAGGGGCCATAGCCTCAGGGGTTCCATCAGGCTCATCTTTGGTTTTCTTCATTCATCTTTGCTCTGGACGAGGAGGGACCTGTCGTTGCATCTAGATGGCTGCTTGCAAGCTTTTAAGATCCCAGTTGCTACTCACCAAAGTAAGATGTAGAACAATGTTTTTATATAGTATGTTATGCCAATTGAGCTTGATGTCCCCTACGACCATAGTCCTGAGCCCACAGGTCCAACTACTTTCTCCCTCTGGGTAGCAGGCTGTGGCCAAGAAGTGACTGCACACTTGTCCCTTGTCAGCTCTACTGTATACCTAGAAATGCTTACAGAACATACAAATACACTTGTAGCAATACTGTCTGCCAACCCTATACATGGTCAAGAGCACATTCCTCCCTGCATAGACATATGTAATTGTTCAGCCTGTCCACCCATCTATCCTTGGTAAAATCTTTTGATCCATGTAAGTGTCTAATTTTCAGGAGGTCCCAGTCTTCTGGTGTTTGTGCATTTTTAGTTATCTTCAATAGTGTTTTAAGGTCCCTAAGTTCATCCCTATTTTTTCTTTTATAGTTTTAGGCTTTATGTTCAAGTCTTTGATCCATCTTTAATTTGTTTTTGTACATGTTTGTCCTGTTTCATTTTTCTGCATATAGATCTAAAGTTTTGCCAGCACCATTTACTAAAGAGATTGTCTCTTCCCCATTTAATGAGTTTTGGCCCTTTGTCAAAAATCAACTGACCGTAGGTAGATGGATTTACTTCTTTCTGAGTTCTCAATTCTGTTCCATTGGTCTGTGTGTCTGTCGTTCTACCAGTATCAGGCTTTTTTTTAACTACTGTGGCTATATAGTAGCTTTTGAGATCATGGAGTGTGAAGCCTCCTACCTTGTTCTTATTCTTCGGTAGTGCTTTATTTATCCTGAGTCTCTTTTCATTCCATATAAAATTAGTGATTGGTTTTTCCATATCTGTAAAGAATGATGATGAACTCTAGATCAAGATTGCATTACATCTGTAGTTTGCTTTGGGTAGTATTGCCTTTTTCATGGTGTTAAATTTTCCTATCCTTCAGCCAGTGCCTTAAAATCTCTG